ACATAGGCTCAAAAAATTTCATTTCAATACAAACTGCCGTTCTCCTTGGAGCCTCCGCCAGCGTATACTATTTTTAATTTTAATTATTTATTTGGCCTTTTAGGTGATTTTAACATCGATGGACTCAATTTCCAATGGGGTCAAGAAGGTATCTTCGGTCTAAGTTTAACCCCACGTCAAGCCAACGGTAATAGAGTATTACTTTTCAGTCCGCTGGCTAGTAATAGAGAATTTGCCGTGTCTACCGACATATTGAAAAACTCCTCTAAAGTATCAGATAGCTACAAAGATTTCTATGCTCTGGAGGAAAGAGGTAAGACGAGATAATATACAGTGTGTTGTTGAAAACTGGAATATATTGTACAGGGAAAGATACACATACGACGTCGCGTGTTGTTAGTAAGGATGGGATACAGTTCTTCAACTTAATAGACCAGAATAGCATTGGATGCTGGGATATTAGAAAACCGTATAGTCCAGAAAATATTGCTGTCATTGAACGTAACGAGGAACTAATATTTCCGGCAGATATTAAAGTAAGTTTATTAACAGATAATTTTATTTCTTATTGAATTTAGTATATTTTGTCCCTTTTTAAAACGACACAAATGTTGCATTCCCAAGCAGCATTTGGACGTCGGGACAACGTTGTTTCACGCGACCAAACGTCGGGGCGCAACGTCGGCACAACCTCGTGCCAACCCTAGTCTGCACTAGTTTGGAGAATCATTTTTGGGTCGAAACGACGTTGGATACCGACGTTGGCTAGAAGCCTAATTTAGTACAAACTGCAACGTTGTTTAAAATCCTAATTCACAGAAATACAAAACTAATATGGCGTCTAAGTCGCGTTTTATATTAAATTGGGATAATTATAGTAAAAATATTATTTTTACGATTTAGTTAGAGACATATGTCAGATGGCAGTGAAGGAAAACAAAAGAAAAGTATTTAAGTGTGGAGGATGTTTGAAGATCATAATTAGTGAAACGCTTTAACCGACTCTGTAACTCGATACCCAAGGCAAAAAAGTTAAACGCCAACAACTTTATTGATAAATGTATTGTTTCTACTTTGAAAAATACTAATGGGCCTTAAAATTAAAGAAGTTTTAAAAATTTTCTTGAATTTTTTTTTAGTAAAATGAAAATAATTTATTCGCAGTCGAAAAAATTGTTTCCGCGTGTTTTTTAGGGTCAAATATTTCAAGTTAATGGATTCAAAAAGCAGGAATTGCTATTTTAGGAACGAAATATTTTCTTATTTAACAACATGGCGGTTTTCACTTTGTTGTTTTGGAGATTAAGATGGAGTAGTTCGAGTAGTCGCATACTGGACTAATAAAGTCGCAGTTCGGCCTTAACAGGTAGTATACTAGTCGCAAGATTGCCTAATTTAGTCATCCTAGAATCTAGCTTGTGCCGCCCTCTATAATCTAAATAAACGAGGGAGTGGATAAACTATCGGTAATATATGTCGATATATATTTAAATTTAGTTTTTTATGTACCTTTCTTATGTCCCATTTTAATTAAGTTTTTTTTATAAAAACAAAAACAGCACTGAACTGTCTGACTGAACAGAACAATGAAGTGAAAATTTAAGATTTAAGGTTATGGTTCAATACAGTTGCATAAAGGTAGTGACTCGACGTCCTACCAACGTAAGAATAAGGAAATCTAAACAACGTTGAATTAGTAAAACAGACGACGTTTGCATAACGTTGGAATAGGTCCTGAAACTGACGTTGGAAAACTCTATATTGTCCAACGTTGTAACTACGTTGTCCGAATCACCTAAAGATCACTTAAGCAAAAAAGGTTACAAGACAACGTTTATTCGACGTCGCAGAAGCTTCTACTTTGCTGTAGTACTAGTCCAACGTCGGCACAACGATATAAAAACGTTTAAATTTATTTTAATACCCAAGGTAGGGAGCTAACTATTATTTGTAACTAATCCAACGTTGTGTTTAGTAAACATGTGTTCGCAAGTCGTGAAAATGCTACCTGGGTTTATTAATTTTTCCGGTATATTTGTATTAACGATGCTCGTAGGAACTTTATTTGTTGCCAGGTTACTATTGTATTAAATGACCTGTTCATCAATTGACGGTTGTTGTCAATCGAGTTCAGTTTTTTTGTCAAAAAAACGCCTTTCGCACGAATTCGGCATATGTTCGAGTACGTTTCCATTAAAATGGGAATATTAAAAAAAACTGAAGAAGCACGACAAGCGTTGCTTCCACTCAAAAGTAAGTACATTTATAAAGGAAAAGGAATATAAAAAATACCTACAGTGGCTAGGACAGAAAAATATTGTAGCAGGGGATGTCGATAAAACTGTTCTGGCATATTTTAAAAAAAATGGTCCGAAAAAAAAATACTTGAATAAAAGCAGCAGTCATACAAAAGAAAACATTGATTCTAGTAGTGTTGCCAACTATCCATCTGTGGAATCTTCACAGATAGGACTATAAATCAAAATAATTCGATTTTGTCTAACAATAGACTATGAGGTCTTTATCTATATAAGCTATAAAACTTTTGTCAAAAATTGAACTTCACGAGTAGGGAAATTTCCCACCAGTTGGCCTCACTGGTTTCTAGTAATGGAAATAATTTTCATTTTATATATTACTCAAAATCTCTATTGTAATTCATGGTTATTACCTATAGATACCAAGAGACCAAGCCTTCTCTCGCACCTATACAAGCTCTTCACTAGGATTATCAACAACCGACTGTCTACGAAACTAGATTCCTATCAGCCAATACAACAGGCAGGCTTTCGAAAAGGTTTTAGTACCATCGATCATCTACAAAAAATTAAAACAGTCATTTAAAATACAACTGAATACAATATACCGCTACGTTTGGCCTTTGTAGACTACTAAAAAGCCTTTGACAGCATCGAAACTTGGTCATTACTAACTGTAATGGAGGACGCGAGAATTGATTCCAGATATTATTCCATTATTAAAAATATCTATGATAGTGCAACCTTCCAAGTTAAATTAGATGATGACCTCAAAACAGAAAAATACCACTCGGCAAGGGCGTGAGACAAGGAGATACCATCTCTCCCAAGTTATTTACACTGGCACGGGAAAATGTCTTCAATAAGTTAGAATGGGAAAATAGAGGTCTAAACATCGATGGGGTACACCTTAGCCATCTTAGGTTCGAAGACGATATTGTCTTGCTGAGCACCGACATTCAAGAACTGAACACCATGCTAAAAGAACTAAATGACCAATTCCAGAAAATTGGCCTTAAAATGAACTTGAAGAAGACCAAGATAATGAACAACAATATCCATAACATTACCATAGACAACGTTATTATTGAAAACGTAGACCATTATATATATTTAGGTCATAAAATCAAGCTGGGTAAGGAGAACCAAAATACGGAGATCAAACGCAGGATCCATTTGGCATGGCTAGCATTTGAAAATATGAGCGATATTTTCAAGGATAAAAAGGTGCCCATCAACCTAAAGAAAAAGGCTTACGACAGCTGCATTCTACCTGTGCTTACTGTGGTAGCACAAAGAGCCATGGAAAGAATCATTTTGGGAGTCACCATTAGGAAAAAAAACGGGACACCCACATACGTCAAAAAATAAAATTAACAGATGTTGTTAAAAGAGTGCGAAGTGGCAATGGATAGGACATGTGGCAAGACAGGATCCAGACCGATGGCCCCAAAAAGTCATCCTATGGAGACCTAGGGAAACAACAAGAAGTGTGGGCCGACCAAAAATGAGATGGGTCGATGACGTCAGGGCAGTGGCGGGAAGACAATGGGTAAGATTGGCTAGAGATCGCGAAGCGTGGGAAAACCTAGAACAGGCCTATATCCAACACTGGATGGAACCAGGCTGAGAAAGCAGAAGAAGAAGAAGACCTATAAAAAGTAGAGGGACTTATGCCATCTTAATAAATAATAATGCCCCAATAATGCTTATAACTCTATTTATGGTTTAATCAACAAGATATAAGCTTATTATATTAATTCAGGAAGAAATAAAGAGTTCTACTCCATTCATTGATCTTTTAATTTTGATACTAAGCTATAACAACGGTATTTTTTAACAACCAATTAATTTGTTGATTTTAGGTTGACAGAAACAACTACTTATGGGTGATATCGGACAGAATGCCCAAATTCCTCATCACATCACTGAACTACAGCGAACCCAACTACAGACTGTTTTTCGCACCGGTAGATGAACTGATTAAAGGAACTGTATGCGATCCTAACTACCAAACACCGGATTTCAACAACAATTTCAATGAAGAACAGTACATCACTACGATGAGCGGATTAATTTTCGGGCAAAATGGAAACCCTATTGGACAGAGTAAGAGCAAGCCAAATGAACAGGAATTTGATAATTTTGGCGACTATACTTTTGGTTCTAAATTGCCTAGTGAAGAACTACGTAATTCTTACTTAGATTGATATTTCTGTTAGTATAATAAAATTTTCAAAGTAACATTGTACCGTATGATCGAAAAAAAAACCGCGTCATCAATGGCTATGAAATCATTTTATATGTAAAATTATATGGGAACTGTCAACGATCGTCATTTCCAAGCCAACTGGATGTCGATTTTTTTTCGATCGTGCGGTATAAATGATTTCGTTAAGTTTGATTACTACCAATGTTGTAATTCTGAATTATTGACCTGTTATTGTAAATCTGTAATTATTGATCTGTATTTTCTCAATTTAAGATATACTTGTAATGTTATACATGAGGTTATTTTTAATTAATATAAATAAAATTTGGTTTGGAAATATTGTGCTTTGTTATTTTATTTCATTATACAGATACAGGGTGAGTCAACGATATATTAAAGCCCGTTATCTCATTTGTTTCAATTGTGAATGATCGTAAACTCATAAGTATAAAGTATAATTGAAACAACTAATTTATTTTACTCATTAATTGGTTCTGAATGAGGCTTTAGAATTAAAAACTTCAACTTACGCTGTACAGTCTGGCTGTGAACAAACGATTGCCAGCTGCAAACTCTTCCAAAGCTGTATCTGCAGTTACTGCGGCAACGAATGCTGCCAAGATTAAACTAATCCACTTCATTTCTTTTCTCTAGGTATCTGTAAAGAAAAAAATATGTGATTTAAAAAGGTATACCAAACTGTTCACGTCTGTTCTGAGTTGTTTTTAACGATTCTTTAAAGTTTACACTGTGTGTCCCTCAGTAAAATTTAACTTTACCTACTATTCAATACTGGGTGAGTCTTAAATAAATGCAAATATTTTCAGGGCTGGTAGATCTCGATAAAAGAAACATATTTTCTCTTTACCGTTTTTCAAAGTCCAAAATAATCGAGTTATTTTATTTTAAAAATTTCAAAAAAAAAATGATTTTTTGCTTAAATTTTGAGAACCACAGGATCTTTTCTGGGTTTTTTTGCTTGTAAATTTAACCTACTATCTATCTTGCCATACAATCAAGAAATAATGTTTTCTAACTAAAAAGTAAAAAAAATCCAAAAAGTGTATCAAAAAATTCCAATTTTTTTCGCGAAAAAAACTCATAATCGTGTTTCTGGGGTCGAAATACTACCCCTAAAATATTTGCACTTATTTAAGACTCACCCTGTATATGAATAGGGTGTTTGAGACATTGAGCAACATTGATTATCTTCCAAAATATTGATTAAAATAGGCACACGTGCTTGTCCTATGCGATAGAAAAAAAAACGGCGTCAAAGACGAGTAGGAAATGACAATCGATAATAATTTGTTAAAATAAATGCAAATATTTTAGGGGTAAAATATTTGCACTTATTTAAGATTCGCCCTGTATATTAACGACAAAAATTGAAAAACAATGCAGTATTATGTTAAATAGAGGTCCCAAGATTCCAGCACCCTCAAATTTCACCCACACTGTATATACAAGTGTTCTTTGGGAATATTCTATACTAACTAATAATATTGTTAATTTTTCATCAATGATTTCTGATAAAATTTAAAAATTAGTATTTTAAAAATTGGTTTTAAATAATATTGTTGCGGACCAAACTATACGCCCGCTCCCAGATGACCTTAACATCGCATTAAAGACAAAATAGACACCGTAATGATTCATTCGAACGTTCGAGAAGAATCGAGTTCCACTGGAATGGAGATACGAGAACATTCGAAACCTCTATGCACCTAACGATCTATGGACTATTCGAGAAATCTTTAGCTGTGGGTATAAAAGCCGGCGGCTGCGGCCTGAAGAGGACAGAAATAAATAGACGAGTACCTTTGAATAAGAAGACTAAGGAAGGAGCATAATGCTATCCATGTATTCATGCATGGTGGGCGGAAAAGCCACCATAAAAGCTCTCTAGGGTGGGGATCCTTGACAGTTCTGTTTGACGATTCATTTGACACATTTGAATTTGATTTGAAATTTTGTGGATTTGTCAGTCTTTACGGAGCTTATTTTATGTTATTTATTATTTATTCTACTAGTGATAGTTCTATAAAGGTAGTAAATCTAGATGGAAATTGTGGCAGAACTTAAATTAACAGTGACACTATCGCGATTTATCGAAAAGACTCTAAAATAGTTGGTTGTGTAGCGTGCGGTAGATCTCGGCAAAAAATTGAGTGAAATAATGGAACAACTTTTCGCTAGTAAGTGACTATATAATATACATACGTGTAGTAAACCGATCATTTATGAAATTCACTTAAATTAACTAAATTATATATTTTTCTTGCATTTTAGCTTTTATTTATTACTTGTCAAAGATTAGATGTCAAAGAATTTAGATACGTTAATTTGACTTACCTGCTTCAGTAGCGTATCGGATGTTTGTGTTAATAAATACTTATTATAACTTATCTATTTTTATTAGAATTATACATTTTTATAACAATTTTAATAACTACCAACATTTATTCACAACGTAAAATAAAACAACAAATTATTGAGTCTACCCCACGTCTACCCTACATCATAGTTTTACATTTTTTAAATAAAATTAGAACGACACTGATAAACCGGAATTTGAGTCGGCCATATTTGAGGCCCATCGCGGTGTACCTAAGATTTTTGATATGCTCCTTCCTTAAGTCTTCTTATTCAAAGACGAGTACAGTAATTGTCGCGCTAAATTCAAAATAAATTTTTTCTAGATAAATAGTCTTTTAATCGTTATTGTTTTTGTTAATTAGTGTTAAATAAAATGTGTTTAAATAAATTGTGACTTTCTATTCACACGGAACCGACGAAAAACGTAACAATATTCTAAGTATCGTATATTTTTGTCCTTATTTATGACTGAAAAGATTCCTGTAGGTTGTTATTCCTTTTCGAGTCACCCTGTACAATCATAACACCGCTTCGTTGGCGTGAATAACCTCCAATGTTAAAAAAATCAAATTTATAACTCTAAAAACAGATATAACACCAGTTTATGACGGCTAAACAAATCATGAATATTAATATTTAACAATAAAACGAAATTTTATTTTTTGAGGATAATTTATTTAAAAGTCGTTAATGTGCCAGGATTTTTTATCGTCTTTTTCGTGTATTTTTTCGAAAAAAAAACGGTTGAGATTAAAAAATATTAACATATGAAAATATAAATTAACATATGAATTTGAAAAACAAATAAAATTATAATTGTTACTAATACTTAGGTAATTGGGTTTTATATTTAAGTTTAGGTAGGTATATGGTATATAAATTTTTTATTTTTTCAGATAAAAAAAAAAGATTTGGTATGTTAGTATATGACATTAATTAGTATTGATTGACGTATTCAATTTTTTTGGTCACTTCCTGCTCCACCGGAAATAACGACAATTTTTGATTTTTAAGTGCCAACCGCGGTATTTTTTACTTTATTCGATAGAAAACGACGCCCTGAATAGAATGACATATCGTACGTCAACTTTTGACATTTTCGCATATGGTTTATTTGAAATTGTAACATGCGGTTCATCACTACAATTTGACTTGAACTACCAAGTGTGTGGTACCAAATTATTCGTAAAAAATAATTTTTCCAAATATGCCAATAAGCCACCCCTTGTTCCATTTGAAAAAAAAATAGATATGATTAAAAATATGATTTGGGCATCTTAACCGGCCAGGACAAAACACGATTTTTCCAAGACTCCTTGATTAAAAATTAGTGTTTTTAACATAGCCATGGCACACTAGATTGAAATTTAAATTACGATTTTTTTAACAAAAATGTCAAAAGTTGACATATGATAAGTTATTCTATTCAGAGTGTCATTTTCTATCGAATAAAGCATAAATATAAGTGACCTAAAACAGGAAGTGACCAAAAACGAATGAATACGTCAATCAATCCTAATTTATGTCATATACTAACATACCAAATCTCGTTTTTTATCTGAAAAAATAAAAAAGTTGTAGGGGGTGAGCCACTTTTGAAACGCACCCGGTATATAGTCTGAAGGCTTAAACACACTATAGGTAACACAGGTTTTTCTACTCTCGATAGATCAGTCACTAACAAGCAATTATACTTATTAGAAAACATTAGTATAAATGTGATAAATTACTTCAATTTGTCTAAACAATATAACACTTTTAAAAACAATAGTATTTAACGTTTTAAAAACGAATTTTAGCAAAGAGTGCAAACCGGTAAAATCTCAACATAACTAAAACAAAATAAACGTGTATTTTTACCTTAAATATAGAAAAATAATATGTTCGTACTATATAGGGAATGAAGGCTTGAACACACTAACACAGGTTTTTCTATTTGACAGATCAGTCACTTGCAATTATATTAAAAATACCTTAAGTTCTTAGTAAAATATACAAACTAAAATCACTCGCACATGCATACAAACTTATACTGATGCCGGTCGGTGACAATGAACAATAAAAATAAAAATAAAACCCACGGAGAGATGGGAAAACCCACAACACACCAGGCAGCCGTTGAAATTGCAGAACGAGTTTACATTATACATTATTAAATTGTTATAAACAGATCTTTATTATTTATTAAATCAATAAAAAATTATCCTAAACAAATTTGGTCTCTTATGATAAATCTACTTTTGTTTTAAATTTTAGAACAGAATTCTAATTAATGCAGACTATCGAAATTTACGAGATTTACTTCTACGAAAAGTAGAGTAAGTCCTACTCTGAGTAAAAGCGCACCAAGGGATAAAGGGTAATGAAAAAGCAAACGATCTAGTTATTGAAAAGGAGCGAACACTCCACTAACTGGACCAGAACCGTTCTGCTTTCTAAGTGAAAATCAACTTAAAGCGGAACTCAAGAACCTGGAAGACTCCGTAACCTGGAATGGCAATTGGGAATCCTCAGTGGTTTGAGACGCTCATCACTAAGTGCACCCAGACGACAATCGTCCGTACCATAAACTTTGGTACTACTGATATCGGAGATGGAGAACTAACCTCTGTAAAACCGTCTCAGATACTGGCTTTTGTTAAAGCCCTGCGACTGTATGCTGAGTTATAACTCAATAAAGGGGGAAACAATAGATCTGTAAGGTTGCGATGATTAACTTCCTCCTTCCCACACCATTCTACATTTACATTTTAATTCTACAGGCTAGATTATGAGCCGATGATTATGATTTGTACGAGGGGTGTCTCACTATTGGAATAACATGTAAATTTTCTTGACGGTCCTTGGCAGTCATTGGCAGTCTTACAGCAGTCGCCTATAATAATTACATGGCAGTCATCTTCTTCGCAGTCATTGGCTTGAAAGTAAAATGATATTTTGGCAGTACATGTACATTTTTTACCCAAGTGAGACACCCCTCGGATATGTACAGTGTGTCCCATTTTGGTTGAAATCATAGGGTATCTCCGTTATTAGTGAAGATAGAAGGGTGCGGTTTGCACAAACCTGTCCCACTTTTTCGTCAAACGGAAGATGCTGCAAACAAAATTTTCATAGCCCTCTTCATTTCTGAGC